GGGCTGCGCGGAGGCGGCGGTGGGACGCGCTCAGCCGGCTCCATCACTGACGGGGCGCGGGCGGCCGGGCCCGCTGGGGCGCAGCGCGGACTTTGCGCAGAGCGCAAGGGAAGCCGAACCAGGGAAACCCGGCTTGTGGGCCGGATTCCGGGATCTGGATGGAGAGAGGGATCCGGGTCGGTCCTGGAGCGTGGGCTCGGGAAACCCAACCCCCGAGTGCAGATCCGAGCCAGTCCAGCTGGGTGAGAGGCAGCGGGGAGGAGGGGGGGGGGGCTGCGCCTACCGTCGTCCTGGCCATAGCCCCAGCCGTGGTGGCCGGTCATGCCGCTGCTGTCCCCGGCAGGCAGTCGTGTACCTGCCGGCTGGGCTCGGTCCGCTCGATCGGGCTGCGGCTCTGGGCCCGCTCCGTGCCGCGGAGCAGCCTCTTAAAGCGGCTGCGGGCGGGAGGAGCGGTTCCCCGGGGACCCGCCCCCCACCCCCTAGCAGGGAGGGAGGCCGGCCCTCCCCTCCCCCCCTGCCTTCCCGCGGGCCCGCTGATCCCCTATAGTCCAAATGAGAGGTCAGGAGGAGGTAAACTGCCCCCCTTCTCCCTACCACTCTCCCTGCGTCCCCCTGCACTTGTACGGACACGGGGTACCAGAGACCAGCCGACCAGCCATGCAGCGCACTGCAAGGCTTCTCCACATTGCATTTCCTACCCAAGCTGCTCCTGAGACATGCCACCACTGACACCTGGACCCGGGTCCTGGGGACAAGCATGAGAAGTCCTTGTTATACTGCAAACTGGAGCGTCCAGAATGGAGATTTGCCTGATGGCCAGACAAGGTTCACAGTAATAGACCAAGCTTTACATCCTTCCTATAATACAAACCTCAGCCAACTCTATGACATGGAATGATTATTACATTGGTTCTGTTTGACAGGAGACTGAGGCCCAGGGATGTGAAGTGACTTCCCCAAGGTCATTTTGCCAGGGGATGAGAGATTCTGTTGTAGTTGTTTCACCCCACATAAAATGGTTACTTTACCACATCCCCTTGGTGCTGGAGCATGGGAGTCCTGTGGATATAAGGAACTAGGAGCCCTGGGGTATATAGGGTACAGAACTGGCAACCCAAACCCTTGGGCCAAATGGAACCAACCAGACCCCAAAGTAGGGGTGGGGAGGAATGGCCTCAACCAATGACCTTGGGGACAAACAAGCCCATAGACAATGGTTGGCTTCCCTCAGAAACCAAGTCTTGAGGCCTTGACTTGCATTCTCCTTTTATCTTCTCTGCTGCTTCCTCCCTCCTTCAGGGACTCTGCCTATCCTTTGCCCCCTCTCCTCCCATGACCTTCAAAGCACCTGCTGGGAGCTCGGGCTTTCTACTCTGCACTCAGCCTACCGCCTGACTGCCCACTGGTTTCCATCCCACCAGCCCTGGTCCTTGCTGTGCCCTCCTCCTGGTATGCCCTCTGTCTGCCAGCCCAGTCTGATTCACCTGATTCTCAAAGCATGTGGCTTTGTGCCAAGGATATGGGGCTTGTGTCTGCCTAAGACTCAGCAGGCATTTTGGGGAATGGATGGAAGGATTGACAAATGACCCCACCTCCACCCACCAGAGCCTTGTATCCAACAGGAGTTGAAGAGCCATTGGAAGAAAGAGTCTATAACTTTCTGTTGCTCAGCTTCCATCTTCTGGTTCTCTGGATAGAGGAAATTGACCACTCGTCAGCAACTTCCCAGGCCTGCACAGAAGCCTCTCTCTGGCCCAGGAATACAAAGAAACTTCAATACAAATCTAACCTCCAGGTAATAATGTCAGATGATCCATGACATAGATGCAGGGGGTGCAGTCCTCAAGAGCAGCAAATGACATAGAATCCAACATCTTCGAGGCACCAGGTCTGGAAACAGCCATCTACAAAACAGCAATACAAAGGCATGGTTTGGGGGAAGGCCTACAGTCTGTCTCCCTGAGTTAGTCAGCCACCTTTCTCCTGGGAGAGCTGCAATAGCCTTCAGCATCTAGGGATGTCACAAGTTCCATTGACCCACTTTGCCCTCGCAGCAACCCAAGTCTTTATTTATAGTACTTTAAAAAATCCAATTGGAATTCTTTGTATAGCTTTGCATTCAGCTTCATCAGAACTAGCTTTCATTCAGAAATCTCCCTGGGGAGAGGAAGGATGAACAGAGGAAGAATGAGAGCCTAGGACCATCATTTGACAGTATTTAGGAAGTAGATTTCAAATTTGCTTCTTATTTGTGTATGTATGCAAGTCTTCTCTGAAGAGAAGCTAGAGAGAATGTCATACTTCCAGGGAGGAGCCCAGAGTCTGGAAGGGTGGATACAGGAGGAATGGTGTGCTGAATGGTGTACTTTCTGAAAGGATTAAAAGAATAGATTGTTGGTTACCTCTTTAACATCCAAATAAAAATCCCTCCTGTTCTTTCCTGCCTATAGCCTGTCTTCAACAATTTCCTTCTAGCGCTAGGAACTCAGGCAGATAAGAAGAGTGGATGACATCTACCCATCAGGTGAAGCTCCAGTTGCCCTAGCAGCCCACTCAGGTCAACTTGGAGTTGCCTATGCCCCCATTCAAATGTTTCCAGTTTCAATTACATGCTCTCTTGAAAGCTGAATTGATTTCTCTGCTTGAGAATTTACTCTTTAGTCTCACTGGCATCAAAGCTCCTGTTTTTCACTATTTATGGGGGAGGATAGGGGTGTGGGAACTATAATAAAGGGCAGGGGGAGGAGGGCCTGAGCAGTTTGCGAAGCTATGCTTCACTTATCAAATAACCTTGGCCAGAACTCACTTCCCATATTCTGAGCACAATATCACAAGGTGATGAGGAGATTGTTTCTACCCTGCCTACCCCATGGGGATCCCTGTGCACACCCACTGAAACAGCAGATGTTCAAAGCTGCACGAACGGGCAGAATCATGTCTCTTCTCACTGCTTGTTATATAGAGAGCCTATTGGCCAGGTTAGAATCCCTGTTTAAAAAGAAGTTGGCTAGCTGGGCACAAGTGAGTCATACCTATAATCCTAGCTACTCAAAAGGCTAAGATCTGAAGATTACAGTTTGAAGCCATCTCAGGTGAGAAAGCCTGGGAGATTCTTATTTCCAATTAAGTACCAAAAAGGCTTTGGCTCAAGTGGTAGGGTGCTAGCCTTGAGCAAAAAAAAGCTCAGGGAGAGTACCTAGGCCCGAAGTGCAAGCCCCAGGACCAGCACACATAAACAAAAACAAAACAAACGGGGGCTGGGAAGTTGGCTCAGTGGTAAAGTGTTTGCCTTGCATGCCTGAGGCCCTGGGTTTGATTCCTCAGCACCACATAAGCAGAAAAAAGCCATAAGTGGTGCTGTGGCTCTAGTGGTAGGGCACTAGCCTTGAACTGAAGAGCTGAGGGACAGCGCCCAGGCCCAGAGTTCAGCCCCCACAGCTGGCAAAAAAAAAAAAAAAATCCTTTCAAACATTGCCTTTTCAATTATAGTAGTCATGTCTATTTGTAGAAAATTAGTAATAATGAAAATGTCAACATATAGAGAAAAATTTAAATTACTGTCCTGTTACTAGCCAAGGATCACCACTGTCAACAGTTTAGGGACCACTCTGTTAAATTTTTCTGTTATGTATGAATAAACAATCAGGATTATATAGGTAGTTTTGTGGCTAGAATGTTTGTTTTTTTACCTATTGCCTGAGGTAAGGTTGCTTGAGCAGCCTTGGAGAACTTAGTACATTGCTCTGGCATATGCATTATATCTGTTTTCACTATTGGAAATAGCCCTGCAGTGAGCCTCCTTATTTATATATCTTGTCATGTGTCTGGTGATTTCCTTGGGATAAATCACTAGAAGTAGATTACTAAATTAGATGATATGTACTTTGCCAAGTAACACTTTCAAGTGTAAGAAAGATGCAAGAAGTATTTGAGAAATTTATTGTTTCGTTCAGCAAGCATTTATTGAAGACTTATTACAAGTCAAGTGCTGGGCCAGACACAGGTGACCCAGTTGTGAATGTTATAGACCTGTGATGTCTCACAGTGCTTATGGGGTTAGGAAAAAAGACAAGAAACCCAATGAGCACCAAGGGGAGAAGAGCTAGGATGGTCAAGGATAGGTAGAAAGGACTACTAACCAAGCCCTGTAAGGTATCTGGACTCATTTTCTTGGTTGCTCTCACACAGAATATAAGCTGCTTCAAACTTCTCAGGAGTCCATAGATCCAGTCTCCTTTGGCTGATACCAACTGGAATGGATAAAATAATAGACCAGGCAAATCTATTGGAATCTCCTTCTTTCTTTCTTTCTTTTTGTCGGTCATGGGCCTGAACTCTGGGCCTGGGCACTGTCCCTCAGCTCTTCAGCTCAAGGCTAGTGCTCTACCACTTGAGCCACAGCACCACTTCTGGCTTTTTTTGCTTATGTGGTGCTGAGTAATCAAACCCAGGGTTCCATGCATGCAAGGCAAGCACTCTACCACTGAGCCACCTTCCCAGCCCCTGGGATACTCAGTTCTAACACCATTATTTTTTGGTATTGCCCGCTTTCCATGGCTCTACTGTCTGTGTTTAAAACAGGGTAAACAGCAGTATCTACTGTATGAAATAGATGTGAGAACAAGAAGTAATAAATGTCAAGATCCTGCCTGATATATAAGTAAGTGCTCAGCAAACAGAAGGAGTGCTGTAGTTAGAGGTTTGCTTTTCCTGCTTGTGCAGTAGGAGGATGGGTAGCAAGATGGTTGGCTTAGCCCAGTAGTTCTTAAGTCATCAGAATCACCTGGTAGCTCTGTTAAATGCTTTTCCAGGCCTCACCCTAGGGTTTCCAATGCAGCAGATCTGTGATTGTGCATTAGAATGATCATTTCCCAATGATACTGCTGGTTCAGATGACACTTTGAATATCAAATGGCTTAAATGAATTAAGCCATGACTTCCTGGTCTGATAGCTATGGTTTGCTGCACTCCACAACAGGAAATACACATCAGTGGTGGCAGAATTTTGTCTGATCAGTCTCTATAGCTCTAGCATTGGCATCTTTCCAGGTAAATATTGTTGAACTTCTAACTCCCTTCCCTTACTACTTTTGCCTAAAATAAGATAGAAATGAGCACAGATCCCTACCCACAATCCCTCTAGGATGGAAGGAGGTAGAAAGTAATCTTATTTGGAAACAGAGCCTTTGTAGATATAATCAGGTTATAAGATGAAGTAATTAAGTGGATCCTGATCCAATGTACATTGTCCTTCAAAGAAGAGAAGAGACACTGGAAGAGAGACAAGGGGAAGGTGAGATTGCTGGCAAACTAGCACAAGTAGGAAGAGGCAAAGGATTCCCTCCTGTAGGTTTTAGAACCATAACCCTGCCTCTGATTCCAGACTTCTCTT